ACGAAGTTGGTGAGGATATATAAAGTCTCAAAGTTCTTAATTGAGAGTCAGTTACGTTAGTCGATGACAGATGGTTATCAGTTGCTAGTCGTAATTGTAAGTTGTGCGTTCAATCGGACATTTTAATAAAATAGCTTCTAGAATAAAGTTTTGATCCTTAACGTGAGTAATCTATCGTCTAAGACTCGAATCTAAGTTTGGTTGATTAAAGAGTGCTTAGAGTTAGTTGCTTAGATAGTTAAGTCTACTTTAGAGGAAAGAATCCCGTTTAATTCTTGTGTTACAATCTCGGTTGTGACAACGTCTAAACATTTTTATCTTAATCGTCAATACGATATGACAATCTCTTTACTAAATTCCAAAAGTGTGCGTGCAGATTAAAATCTAATGCTGATATATTTTTCATCTATAAAAGTAGATACAGTTAATGGATTAATTCTGCTTATTCAATTTATAGATCTACGTTCAAAATACATACTGATAAAGGTGATGATCTAACGACTATTGCCTATAAAAATGGAGGACTAGCTATGCACACTGATCTTGTGTATTATGAAAGCGTTCCAGGGGTAATATCAGATTACCTGCAATAATTGTTTCCATATTCGTTAACGTACTATGAATATTAAAATAATATTAACGAAATCAAGTAGTATCAGAATTTCTTTCAAGACTGATTTCTGATCTTAGTAAATATACTACTGTAGAAGCTGTTGTGAGTAAAAGTATGAGAAATTTTTCCAGTATCCATTTAAGCAAATAATCTAACAGTTTTACTTGTCAGCTTATACAGTAATGTGTACTGCACTCACCTTGATTGGGTATGTCTTAAACGACGTAGTCCTATTATAGCAAATATGTTATTTGATTTTATAATGATTCGATGTAAGTAGAAATTGAAGTTAAATTTGTATCTGCATGTGTGTAAGATAATTGTTGTTAACCCATCTAACGCGTGTGTGAAATTTAGAAAAGTTATTGCAGAATTCTAATATAAATATCGTCAATAATTAATTCTTAATATTAGCGACAAGACCTTTGTTTACCAAAAAATTTCGTTATTAACTAAATAGATTATCGCAGATTCTTGTCTGAACTAAGAAAATATTATTATGGATTTTTATAAATTAGATCCTTTTACTGCACTGTTTAAGACCAGCTAAACAGGGAGGTGAAAATCAAGTCGCTGACGGATTCAAGGCTGCTGAACAATTAAAGGCCAGTCATCCTGAATATTTTGATATACTTACAAAATATGCCATCCGATATCAAGATGAAGGAACAGATGTCGGTCTTTCCAATTTCAATCAGATAGCTTATCATCCCGTTATAAGGTATCAACATTAAATTATGTAATTACTAAATTATTATTCCATAGTTGTCTGTATTGTATACTTATTATAGGCTAAGTTATGTCGAGATAAACAATTTTACTTTGAATGATTTCCAATGCATTAAAGAGGCCAAATTATACTAAATTTATCAATTAATCTTTTCTATATTATGTAGATTGAACTATAATGGAGACATCAAACAGATTGCCTATGCTGATCATGCACGATGCTCAAAACTAATTGCACCTAGTGATAAAGTTTTAAGCTTTTATAACGCTATGACTCAGTTTCTGCAATATGCATACGATCCCGCTAATATGGTGCAATTTAAGTTACAATCTGGATGCATGATAGCCCTTGATAATTATCGAATCATGCATGGTAGAACAGGCTTCGAAGAATCTGCGGACAGCATTCGGTTTATTGAAGGTGGATATGTCGATTGGGATGAAGCACTGTCTCGAATGCGCGTGATAGAGAAAGAACTCGCAATTAATTAAACTTATCCAACCGTTTACTCTAATCTGTTAACTTTGATAGATGCTTGTAGATTCGATATGCTATCAAATTTAAAGTATAGTACAATGAGCTATTTGCCTATTTCCTTGCTTTTGAAACTTTGATGTGCTGAAAAGCTTACTGTATGACTGCTGGTAACTTCATAGAAGATTTACTTTTGATATTAATGGAAACAAGTGTTTCATTTTATCTTATCGTATTTTCTAGTATAAATGTAGCTCATTGCAGTAAGCATACAGTACTTCTTCAATACAATTCAAATAACTAATGGCAAATTCAACTGGCACTAAAAGGTAACTTTGACGTCAAAACTAACTATGATACAAATCCGAGTTTTAAATTAGATTTATAGGGTTAATTAGCTACAGAATGAAACTGAATTGTGAACTTTTTTTAAATCGAATAAGGGTATTTCAACAAGTATATTCTTAATTTCTCTGTTGGTGTTACTTATAATAAACAAATTATTTCTTCTATATTGTGATGCATTGTGTAACAATTGTGATATTGTTCAAGGGTAGTCCAGATTAGAACGGTAACTAATATCAGTATGACATGGTAAAATTTTGACCTGGGTAAGATTAGTTACTGACTTAAAATATAAGCTCGGTGCTGAATTATATTAATGTTATCATGGCTAATTACCCGACGGTTATCTCCAATTTGTATTTAAAACAGGTTATAGCAAAAGCTAATCTGTATATATTTACACTATACTCCAAACCTAGTAAGGCATACTACAAACTTACTGCGTAGTACCATACACTTAAATCATTATCAATCATTATTGTAACGGAATTGGACATTTTTACTAAGATCTATTGTACGGTATACATTTAAGATAAATGCAAGTTAATGACTACGATATATTGCTAATTATAAATATCGATCATCAGGAGCTTATGTACGTACGTATATTGAATAAAATTGTTTTATATATATTCAATCTAATTTGTTTTTCTTTACTTTGATGTAGTGATCATCTTGTTTAATTATCTGGGCCGCCATTACTATAATAAAAGTGTTAAAATTTCTTTAGTTAGTAGATTTAGTAGCTTTATTAGATTTCATTTGTTTTGTACCCAATTTCCACTATAGGGATTGATAAATGATGCAAGTTATCTTTATTTTAACGTAATACAACTGGTAAATAATTAAAGGAAAAGGTTTTTTTAAAATATTCTATTATTTATACCGTATTTTAGCCTATATACTATTCAATATCGACTACAATGGAATAATAAGTTAAAGCTCAAATATTTTAATATTGCTGCCTGGTTATTGGATGATAAATTTTCCGATTAAATTCGGGGAGACCGATCTCTTTTCCAATTAAGGTAAAGCACGGCTAAGTGTGTAAGGTCAGTGTTACGGATTTACTAGCATCTCTGTATCTAATTATATTATTTTTTTGGTACTGTATTCGTATCGATTGTATTGCAACCTTATCAGAGCTTAACGGCACTAGCTCTGTTCCGTACTAGATCAGTATAGGTACTGTATTAAACAGTATATAAGGTGGTGAGAAAACAGAATAAAGGTAGATATTCACGTGGAAGCTTAGCTGTCAATCTCGCTTTAGTTGACTGAGAGCATACGAAAAAAAACAGACGCATATCGTTACCGCTAACAGTCAGCTATATATGAATCCATATCCATAGTACGCCAACTACTTTAATTACGTATACAGAATATATTATGTGGACAATAGTGTTACTAAAAATATTGTTTATGAATCATATTGCATCTAATTATGTATTGTAGCTATAGTCTTTACAAACAATAATTTACTTTGTAGATAAGCGACATAATTCATGACAATCCCACTTTTTCTGTAAATCATTAAAAACACGGACGTCAAGTAAAGTCGTTCTTCTATATTTCACTTTTCGCTATCAGTTAGTCTCGTCAACATTCTAACTCTTCGTTTATTACAAGATTAATAGTAGTATTGAGTACTCGCACTTCGATATCAAAAGATTAGCGTAAGTAATTATCATGGTCTCTTTCTCAGTAATTAACAGTCTGCTGTCTCGACGTGCGGTTAAATATTCCTCTTCAATCGTACTTCGACGCCCATATTGGTTATCGTCTAAATTATATTATTCTATACAAGTCGAAAATCGAGTTCAAGATAAGCTAGTATCGGTAAAGTGGGATGATGGTAAAGTTACAGATTATCCTCATGTTTATCTTCGCGATAATTGTCGATGTCCGTCTTGTTTCGATCCTCAAGCGCAACAACGTATCATCTCGAATCCTATCTATCATAACTATACTGATGCAATAGTAAAGACAGCTTGTATGAACGAGAATAAGGATAAATTACATCTAGAATGGATAAACGACGGCGAGCATACGTCTAGTGTGTTTGAATTAGATTGGTTAAAAGCTCATCGATTTACTGGGGATGACAAAAAGGATGTACATCCAATTAAAAGACAGTTATGGGGTAGCGAAATACAACACGACATACCGCAATTCGATTTTGATCGGATCTTAAACGATAAATCAGAACTATATCGATGGCTACGATGTGTAATGGAAAGGGGTATTGCGCTAATAGTCGGCTTACCTAAAAGAGCCGGTCAAGTAGAGAAAGTTGCAGCAAAAATAGGTCATCTTCGCGAGACGATTTATGGGTAAGAATAAATAAATCAGCGTTATCAATATACAGTAGTATAAAATGGCTGAGAGAAGATTCCGTACACTTCTATACGCTGTGTTATTATAAAGTTTATATTTACTGTGTTACAGATAACACGCTATTTTTCACTTTAATGCTCAGCACTATGTTCGTAGTTCATAATATAGTCATCTGTATATGCGCATTATATAGCATTTGATCAATTACTAAACCNGTATCATTCTGATCTT